GAGAGAGAGAGAGAGAGAGCGAGCGAGTTTCAGACAAGAGGGAATGGGTTAATGAAGAGGGAGAGGGATAGAGAGGGGTAGATCGATGAAGTAGGAACCGACCGCCGAATGAACTATATGTACAAACCACCCACGCGCGAGCGTACGCGCAGACGCCAGCACTGCTCCTGGAAGGTTGCCAAAGATACGCAGCGCGTTTTCGCGCGCTAAAATACACAGTAGGTGCAGCAGTAGAGAGCGACGGATGCGGCAATCCGTGACGGAATGCGCATGTAGGGAACATAATGTACACGTAGAGAGAACATGCGTACAGGTAGTGGACACGTGTACAGGTAAAGAGAACATGCGTACAGGTAGTGGACACATGTACAGGTAAAGAGAACATGCATACAGGTAGTGGACACATGTACAGGTAAACAGAACATGCGTACAGGTAGTGGACACATGTACAGGTAAACAGAACATGCGTACATGCATATCAAGAGTAGATAAATAACGTTATTTATCTACTCTTGATGCATATGTACGGGTAAAAAACACACGTACATGTAGAAACGCATGTAAAAATATAAAACACACATACACGTAGAGAATACATGTAAAACTGTGGAGAACATGTGTAAACGTAGAGAACATGTGTACATGTAGAACATATACACACTGTGTGATCTACGGGTGGAATACACGCACGCACGCACGCACGCACGCACGCCCGCACGCCCGCACGAACGAACGCACGCACGCACGCACGCACGCACGCACGCACGCACGCACGCACGCACACACACACACACACACACACACACACACACACACACACACACACATATATATATATANTTCTCTCATCTCTCTCTGTCTCTCTCTCTCTCTCTCTCTTTTCTGTCTCTTTTCTCTTGTCTCTTCTCGTATCTCTTTCGCATCTCTCTTCTCTCTCTCTCTCTCTTTCTCTCTCTCTCTCTCTCTCTCTCTCTCTCTCCTCTCTCTCGTTCTCCTTTCTCTCCCGTCTCGTGTCTTTCTCTTCTCTCTCTCTCTCTCTCTCTCTCTCTCTCTCTCTCCGTGTACGCACGGGTCTGACTGTAACACAGCGCCGAGCAGAGGAACGAGAAGGCGAACGGAAGGGAGCCGAAAGAGAGAGCAGGGGGATTGCTATCGCGCCTCTACTCGCTACACGCGCGTCCCCGATGGCAGGACCCTAGGGGGTCGAGGGCAGCTGTAGCGTGAGGCGAAAATTGCTTTCGGCCAGTCCCACGTACATGGCCATTTCACTTTGCTTAACTCGCACGCCGCAGCCGTTGACCAAACGCGAGGCGGGGCTCTTTGAAACGTTTCAATAGTAAAATGGATTGCGTAAATAAACACGAAATGGTATTTACTTACTAACAGTTCTTACATGTTTCTCTACTCCTTTCGCCTGATCGTTTGGCAGATAACTCTTTAAAATGCCATTGCATTATGCCTTATCGTGCCAACACATCACAGTAACAACCGCACGCACGCCGCTGTGCAAAAAAACAAACAATAATAAAGAGTTGTTTGTTTTTTGGTAGTAAATACATTTCGTGTTTATTTACCTTCATTTTATTGTTGAAACGTTCCGTGTGCCTGTGTTGGAAACAGCGCCGGATGCACGAATGCCTGGCTGCTTCTCCACGTATAACGACCACTCCAGGGCTGGCCTTTCTTAATTAAAGGCCGGTACTTACATGCACGCGTGCGGGCAGCCGCGCAGGTAAACGATGGCCGCATTGCGTGTGTTTGTCTGCCACCGAATGATGGGTGGATGCTAGACGTGCGTGCGTGCAATGTCCAATTACCGCAACGTTGTTAACACTCCAGGCTTCTCCGTTTGCACGGACAAACCTCGCCGCACGTAAATCAAACAAGCGTCTCCGTAATACCCCACCACCTGCTATATTTCACACCAAAGAGTGTATTAAGTATGTATTAAGTGATCATACTTGAATGATTGTTCACACTCCTCTCGTCTGCTGGTCTGTAGCCGGTGGCCCCACACCCCCACCCCATCCTCCCGCTCATACACTAGAGTCCCTATATACAGGAGAGTGATTTGCCCCGCCAATCAGCGATTTGACTCCATGTTGTTTCAAATGGTATCCACACCGCTGCCGCATTAAGGTACAGCGCTGTATGGCATAACGCTGTACAAAATGGTCCCTATATTAATTTAGACTACAATCGTGCTTCCAGACAACTCAAACAATTTACAGAGATTATCAGCTAAGACATGTGTCTTATGTTGTATTTAGACTTGGCTAGAAATTCTAGAGTTCTAAGCATATCGCTAGATTTCTACCCCCCATAGAACTCAAATCGTCTCGCCCGCCAATATGATAGCTTTCATCTCGTACAACTTTCTTACCGCCATAGGCCGTCGCGCCTTTAATAAATCACGGTCGCCGCTTCAAACTCAAGAATCCCCCAACAGAAATCCGATCAATCAAGACTAACACATGGTGTTTAATATGTATCTAGAATTTCTAGAAATGTAACTCAAATTCTGTAACGCGCCATATGATAGCTTAAGTTGTACACTTTCTTAGCTGTAAACACAGCAGCAGCTCATTTTGGAAGATAATTTGACAACTGTAATTCACAGATAAATGCGTTCACTCTCACTCAGCTCGCCAGCATGTAACATGTGTTCTTGCAGCTTCTAGAATCAGATTACACATAGCGGAACAATAGTCTTAGCTATTAATTCTCGTGCTAAATTTTTGAGGTTTTTGAAGCCACGGATTAGTCCTAACTTAATATACTACGGCCACTTGTACAGCGACTGATCCATACAGCCTGTACTTAAGCGGCCAGCCGGTGTGGGATCAATTTCGGAAACAAACATGCCGGCCAGCGATCACCCCCGTGATCGACACAGTTTTATTGTCCGACTCGTCAGTGCGCGCAACTCGTCTGTATATTAGGCATCTACAACCCACCTCCAGTCCCACCCTTGGCTCTGGACAACCCCTTTACCTAGAACCTACCTAGCCACCTAGACCAGACACCTCCATCAGACCATTCCCTAGGACCAGCCTCCATAGTACCACCTACCTAGACCACCTCCATAGTACCACCGCCACTAGACCACCCTCATAGACCACCTCCCTAGAGCCACCTCCCTAGACACCACCTCCCTAGACACTTCCCTAGACCACCTCCATAGACACCTCACCTAGACCACCTCCATAGACCACCTCATAGACCACAATCCCTAGCACCACCTCCCCCTAGCACCACCTCCCTCAGCACCGACCTTCGCTAGACCAGCCTCCCCACGCTAGACCATTCCCTAGACCACCTCCATAGACCACTCGCTAGAACCACTCCCTAGACACCCTCGCGCTAGACCACCTCCCTACGACCACCTCCGGAGACCACCTACCTGAGACCACCTCCCTAGCCACCACGGTGGGCGGGCGTTAGACCACCTCCCTAGACCAACCTCGCAATAGACCACCTCCCTGACCACCTCCCATTAGACACCACCTCCATAGACACCACCTCCCTAGACCACCTCCCTAGACCACCTTGCCTAGACCACCTCCCCTAGCCACCTCGCTAGACCACTCTCCCTTAGCACCACTCATAGACCACCTCCAAGTAAGACCACTCCCTAGGACCACCTCCCTAGGACCACCTCCATAGCCACCTCTATAGACCACATCCCCTAGCCCACCTCCATTAGCACCCCATCCCTTAGACCACCTCTCTTGACCAGCCTCCCTAGACCACATTCCCTACGACCACCTCCCTAGACCACCTCCATAGCACACCTCGATATGACACATCCCTACTGACCACCGGCCAACTAGACCACAATGCCGCCTAGACCACTCTCTGACCACCT